CTATTCACCTCTTTAACTCACTTCGAAGCAATTGTTACGACTCGCACAGCTGATCTAACACGACATGGCAACGGCATATTTTGCTGAGCAGATTTTTGTTCACCTAATTCTGACACTCCCAACCAAATGTTGCGATTCACTTAGCTAATCCAATATTACATGGCAATGAAACATTTCTGATAAGACTTCTGTTTACCTCGTTTGCTCAGTTCGAACTAAGCGTTGCGACTATTTCCCTGATCCACAACATCACGAGGGAAAGAAACATTCTTTACCAGATTTCTGCTCACCTCTTTTCCTCCCTTCGAACTTAACATTGGGACTATCTCAGCTGATCCAACATCGCGTGACAAAGGAACATTGATCAACATATATGTGTTCACCACTTTTGATCACTTCGAACCAAACGTTGCTACTCGCTCAGCTGATCAAACGTCATGTGGCGCAGGAACATTTCTGATAAGTCTTTCATTCACCCCTTTTGCTCACTTCGAACAAAACAATGCGACGCGCTCAGTTCATCCAACATTACACGACAAAGGAACATTCCTGAGAAGACTTCTGCTCACATAATTCGGCCACTTCAAACTAAACGTTGTCACTCACTCATCTGAACCAACATCACATGGGCACGGAACACTCATCAAGATACTTCTGTTCACCTATTTTGCTCACTACGAATGAAACGTTGCGACTTGCTCAGCTAATCCAACATCACGTAGCAAAGAAACAATCCTCAACATACTTCTGTTCGCCTCTTTTGTTCATTTCAAACCAAACTTCGGAACTCGCTCAGTTGATCCAACATCACATGACAAAGGATCATCTTTGAGAAGAGATCTGTCCAGCTCTTGTGATCAATTTAAACCAAACGTTGAAACTTGCGCAGTCGATCCAAAATCACAATGGAAATAAACGTTTCTAAAAAAACTTCTGTTCACCTCTTTTGGTGAGTTTGAACCAAACGTAGTGACTCATTCCGCTAACCCAACATCACATGGGAAAGAAACATTCATCAAGATACTTCTGTTCATCTCTTTCGTTGACTTCGAACAAAACGTTCTGACTCGCTCAGCTGATCCAACATCACATGGGAAAGGAACGTTCATCAAGATACTTCTGCTCATCTCTTTTACTCACTTCGAGCCAAACGTTGCTACGCGCTTAGCTGATTCAATATTACATGGCAAAGGAACTTCAATCACTAGACTTTTGTTCACTTCTTTTGATCACTTCGAACCAAATGTTGTGTGTTGCTCAACTGACCCAATATCACCTGGCAATGGAACATTCATCACCAGACTTTTGTTCACCTCGTTTGCTCACTTCGAATCAAACGTTGCGACTGGCTTTGCTCATACAACATCGCATCGAAATGGAACATTCACCACCAGATTTCTGTGCGCCTCTGTTGCTCACTTCGAACCAAACGTTCCAACTCGCTCAGCCGATCCAACATCACATGGGAAAGGAACATTCATCACGATACTTCTGTTCACTCCGTTCGCTCACTTCGGGCGAAATGTTTGGACTCGCTCAACGGGTCGACCATCACATTGCAAAGGAGTATTGTCGATAAGACTTCTGAACATGTCTTTTACTCAATTCGAAGCAAACGTTGAGACTTGCTCAGGTGATCCAATCTCACAAGGCAAAGGAACATTGCTGATAAGGCTGCTATTCTCCTCTTTTAGTCATTTCGAATGAAACGTTGCAACTTGCTTAGCTCATACAACATCACATGGCAAAGAAACATTTCTCAAGATATTTCTGTTCACCTCTTTTGTGTACTTCGAACCGAATGTTGCGAGTCAGTCAGCTGATGTTGTATCACATGGCAAAGGAAATTTGATCATAAATCTTCTGTTCACCTCTTTTAGTCACTTTGAACCAAAGGTTGCGACTCGCTTATTTGATCTAGTATCACATGACAAAGGAACTTTGATCACGAGACTTCTTTACATCTGGTTTAGTTGCTTTAAACCAAACATTGCGACTCGCTCAGCGGATCTAACATTACATGACAATCGAACATTCTTTATCAGACTTCTGTTCACCTCTTTTGCTCTCTTTTGGCGAAACGTTGCGACTCGCTGAGCTGATCGAACATCATATGACAATTGTTTTTTAACGACATGTTGCGCCAGCCATACATTCATCAATTTTCCTAACTTCGAATACAGAATTGTCACTGAAAACACGATTGCACGCTTCAGATGTCAAATGCACAACTGTGATCAATATCATATTCATTTTCTTCCATTCATCTGAAATAAATATTGGTAGATGCCTGGCTAAATAGCAGTCGCGTTTCATATGAATAATCATAACGAAAGCACCGTTCACTTATATTATTCGTTTGTGATCACAATACGCACAAAGATTGCAGCTCATCGAATATGCCATGACCAATGATTAATGAGAAAGTTTGAAAAGATTATAATAGTCCTGTTCATCAATGCTTTCATCGTAATTTAATGCTTTAATTAAAGCTTTGAATCAATCTGTTGATGGAAGAGCGCGTAATACTTGAAAGTTTGGCATAATCAGACTTTAATTCATATATCACCGATCGTTCATACACAAGATGATTTATTAATAAGTAGAAAAAAGGATCATATGCTAAATGAATCATTCGTAGCAATCCTATGTTCATTTAGTCTACTATTATTGAAATGAAAATTATGCGTTGCTTCTGCTGACTAACGATTATGTAACTAATGAATATGCATCATTGGACTTAATTTCACTTATTTTGTCTCCTCTAAACTGGAGCATATAAATTGTGTTGGAGCCGAAAATATTTCATGGCATACGGACATGTATTCACCAACAAGTTTATTCACTAATTTTCGTAGACACAAAAATACATCGCGAGAATCAATGCACAGATGAAACATTACTAAATTAAAGAATCAGCGTAACGATCCTTATCTTTACTATTCCAATATTTTTATTCGCTAATGTTACGTTCATTCAAAACGAACTAGGAGTACAGACTCTTACGAAAAATGTCATAGTGAATGACTAATTATAATTATCAACAAGGCTGTGTTCGCCGACGCCATTCGCTTTAAAACTAAGATTATCAAACATTAAATAGATCTAAGTTTAGATGAAAAAGGAAATCTTTTTATTTTGCATGTTATATTCATTTACTTCACTTTCTTTCTTTAAAAAATTCCCAATTGTTGGCCACATCCTCTGATCAAGCTGTCAGTGAATTGTTACCATCCACTGCCAAGTTTGCGGATGATCTTGTTCATCTATTTCATTCACAACAAAGGAAGAACTCAACAAAGAACAATTGATGAAAAAATCATCGATGAAACGAACGATTATTATCACCAGTACGGTTTTGTTGACTAATGTTGTGTACATAATGCTTACCTTTTTGATTCGATAAATCATACATGTTCGCATACTAAATGCATAATTTAAAAAGTACCAACGATCATATTTGTATACATCATTCATTTCATAGCAAAACTACCGAGTTGCTAAGCATGAAGAAGATAGTATTGTAAATGCATTGGTCGAATCAATGTTCCGTTCCCTTACATTCTTTTGACTTTAAAATTAAGATTCGACGTTCATACAGAAATTCAAGATCACAATAGAAAAGAATAATCACAACGACATTTGCCGCAAGTAGCACAAACGTCCAATACTAAGATCTTGCTCAACCACAGAGAAATTGTTTCAGTCAGGATAAGAATCAAATATTGTGCCTCAGATGAACTATGCTCATGAAAATCTTGTTCACATATCTTTGTACTTTCAAAAACACCACTTAGATCTTCAGTAGCGTACAGTTCATATAAGAAGTGAATGCATAGAACGCCCCTGAACATTTCATTCAATTATTTTTTTTCATGCATGTGAAAAGTCTTGTGCAATTTAACAGCTGATTTTCATAAAAAAACATGAATACTCCCAACAAAAATTGTGTTCATTTACTTTTCTCGACTCGAAGTAAATACTTCAAGATATTGTGCCAATCAATGTTGACATGAAAGATAAAATAGTCTGAGGTAGTTCTAGGTAACCATGAGGTGCAGCAAATCCTTGATTAACTAAACAAAAGTTGACAGCGTTCAAATCAAATCAAGATAGAGCATAATAACATCTTTGCTAAACATGATGGGTAACGATAGTTCAAGCATAAAGCAAGAAAATTTGTTGTTCTTTATACAACAAGCAACGCTCGTCGGTGCGACTCGTTTGACCCTCGACTGAATACTCAGCTCTTTCTGTCTAATATACTCCTTTAAAATCCTCAACACAACAAGTATCCAACATTTGACAAAAAAGCTGGCTGCAACTAAGAATGTTAATATTCGCGTCAGTTTCGGTGCTCAGGATGGTGTGCGTGTCATTGTGAGGATTTCGTCATTAAGTGATCCGATTTAATGAAAACCAGTTCACAAATACCCAACAGAAATCTAAATAAATCTCCAAATTAGTAGTGCCCACATAGAAACCCTTCGACAACGTCGATAAAAGCGAGTTCCTAATTATCACCTTCCTCTTTTTTTCATATTTCCAAAGAAATTTAATAAAAAAAATAATATATTAATTTACTGAGAAAATCGTCAAGAAAAAAACTAGCGTACTAGTCGCAAAACGCACTATGATTCCTGTAAACTTGACCAACAATCCTTATGGTTGATGGGACATCAATCGATAATGTCATTTGCTGAAATGTCTACTGCCAAAATAAGACTTTAACTGAACTTCAAGCTCAGAATAAATTATATTCAAAAAGACCTATAATCGGATACGCCATTTGCATGACGCTCCCACGGAAAGTGGTCATGGGATTAGATACTTGATTTAGATATACCTGAATACATGTGAACACTTGAATGTACACATACAACCGCAAAAGCCAACAGAAAAGTTTATGGTGTGGGTGGGTGTGGGTGTGGTGTGCAAATCATTACTCCATCGTCACACCCACACCATACAATGACACATGTATCCAAGAACAAGAGAAGTCAAGATGACGTACTCGAAACAGTGACTTTGCACTTAATTGATTGGAGTGATCCACCAACATTGGAAATCATGGCTGAATATTCTCCTTGATCTTCTGGTTGTACGTTTAAGATTGTCAATGTGTATATGTCAGCATTGTGAGTCGGTGTTGTCATCTGAATGCGATCATTCGGTGTGAGTTGATCGTTACCTCTCATCCAGACAATGCCAGGTTTTGGTGTTCCACTGGCGGCGATTTTGAGTGTCATGGTTTCATCTTTTGTGACTTGCATTGCAGCATCGAGATTTGTGTTGATGATAGGCTTGATGCAAACAATATTCAATATTGTTCTGGCTTCAGCTTCGCCATCAGCATTGGTGGCACGAGCAATATAGTCACCTTGATCGACGAGTTCGGCTTGATGAATCGATAGTGTCGATGTTCCATCATCAGTTTCAGTCACTTGAAAGCGACTGTTGGTTGGAAGGGGTTGACCCTTGAAGAACCATGACACTTGCGATTTCTCGATGCCACTGAACTTCCATGAGATCTGAGTATCTTGACCGAAGACACATGATTGATAGTTTGCTGATTTCGGAGCTTCCACTTTGGGTTCACCTAAAAAAATAAGTAGTCCTTCATATGGCCCATAGAAGAATTTAGGTGTTCTTTCTAGTAATGCCCACTTTCGTAATCACCCACAACTGGCGTAAAATAAATTTTTAAAAATTTCTTCATAGATTTGTTCATAAACTTTTTGTGGAGGTTTCAACGATGCATCTTTCAAGAAGATAATTAAAATGATATCATTTTCACGAATCGGAATACATACGAAATAAAAGTTTTCCAAAAATTTTTATTATGCTCAACATGATAGAAAATATGGTTTAATTTGATTATGGAAGAATCATTAGAACAAATCGATAGAAATTTCTTCTGTAGAATTTTGTAGAGCGTTTTATGACGCATCTTATAAAGGAAAAACCAAGATTATATCATTTTCCTCAATAAAGACATGTAATGTAAGAAAGCGTTGCAATAATGTTGCCACAAGTGATAATAATACTACTGTTCAGAGATGTCCATCGCGGCGCTGCCGCGCCGCTGCCGCTGCCGCTGCCGCTGCCGCGGTGGCGGTGGCGGCGCGGCAGCGGCAGGTTTTTAAAAAAAATCACCGCGGCAGCGGCGCGGTAGCGGCAGATTTTTTTAAAAGTCATCGCGGCAGCGGCGCGGTAGCGGCAGGTTTTTTAAAAAACCATCGCGGCAGCGGCAGGATTTTTTTGGAGGACATTGAAAAACTGTATGAATTTAATAGAATTTCACGATTTACAAATGAAACGCCCTGATATTGGATAAATCTGATGGACTAGTACCCATATCTCTGGTCAAATATAGTCACAGCAGTGAAATTAGAAACACTTTTTTGAAAATCGTCGCGGCAGCGGCGCGGTGGCGGCACGTTTATTTTATAATTCATCGCGGCAGCGGCGCGGCAGCGTTTCTTTTATAAGTCATCGCGGTGCGGCAGCGTCGCGGCAACATTTTTTTATAAACCGCCGCGGCGCGGCAGCGGTGCGGCAGCTTTTTTTTTCTAAGGCCGCGGCGCGGCAGCGGCAGATTTTCAGCCGCGATGGACATCTCTGCTACTGTTATAGAAACTTATTATCTGTGTTTCTCTCAAGCGCAGAGGCCATGGCACGAAGTTTTCTAGGGGTTTTACTCTACATTTTAAGCGCTGCCTATGAGCATAATATAAGCTTGAACGTAAGTTATCAGTTGAGTGGGTTCCCTCGTAAGTGAAAAACAACATGTGACTGTTCGACAACTAATAATTAATTATTTCGTACACATCCAATTAGTACTCATCTAATTAATGCTAGTTAAGTAAGTACTACTAGCTGATTACTCATTAGTTTCTCAACTAAATAGAAGAATTATAATTAGATGAGTATTCATTGATTGAATAACCATTCTATGAATACTAAATTAGTCGAGCGCTAATTTGATGAATAATCCAGTTAGCACCTTAGCTTTGCTTTAACAGTTAAAGCTGAAGTAACATACTTTAGCGCTTCAACTTTAAGAAAATAAAAGTTGGAGTCGATGGATGTGGTTGTGGGTGCTGATGTTAGTTTAGCTATCGACAAATACAAACACTCACACCAACACTCATCTTTGTGAAAAGACCTATGTTTTACGCCTATTGTCGAGTTACCTGCGTCAGCACGTGTCGTAAAAATATTGATTGATAACGGTTCTTCCGTCGTTTTCTGAATTTTATGATCAATTTTAATTCGAGAAATAAGTTCATCAAGTTGAACAACAACAGCTTTTACCTATCAACAGAAAATCATAAAATGCAATGGAAACCATTCAACTTAATTTTACTTTTGCAAATTTGCATGTCCATTGTTCATGAATTGTTTTATCCATGCAGTACACATAAATTGACATCACTTGTCGAAGGTTGTGAACAGAAGGTACTATTTCTTTTCCCAATTGACCACTAACAATTATTACTAGTCGATCATTTTCTGATTGTTCTTCAATGTATTTCTGACATTGGGCTACATCTTGAAACTTCTCGAAATGATCCATAATAGAATCCAACTCCTGTTCTGTACCTCGACTCTCGTCATCGTTCACATTAGCATTAAGCCAAATGATGCAGGAAATCACTGAAAAAGAATCCGTAGAACAATACATGGAAAAAAAAGTTTTTGATAATGTAATAAACAGAAAAAGGGTTTATTAGATATTTCAAAAACGGAAAAAATGATTTGTGTCTCGTTGCAATTTCATAACCCCCCCTTTTTTTTACAGTAATGTCAAGATGCATATCATCGACGTATTTGTGAAAGCCTTCAATTGCTACAATAGAAGTTTCAATGTTAATGAGGAATAATAAAATAGAATAGAAATTTTGAATGTTGACTATTCGATTCAGTTATTCAATTTATGAGTGCTTTTGACACGCAAAATGAATGTTATACTCTTACTTTTATTATTTAATTTGTTGGTATTCATAATATTATTAGTTTTTCTAATTTTGATGCTAAGATTAGAGCAGAATAAGATGCTCGAATACTTCGAAGACAATAAATTTGTTCTGACTCATTACTTTTGGTGGAATGATTATTGAATCGAGGCGTAAAACTCTAGCATGGCATTTTGTTTTGTTTAGTCAACTAAGGAAGTTATAAATAAGACAAAATCATCTTACACAAAGTTTGGTACTGGCATTTGCAATTGTGTAGATTGTTCATTTGAATCAGTACCAGTCACAATCCTCGTCTGTACTTTAGAAAATTTCTACGGTAAACTTAATTGAACCTATCGAATTGAGTCATACATTCAAAAATGCTGTTTCTTCTATGATTAAGTGTTCTAATATTTCAGAGTTGTATAAACTGACACGAAAGACATAATAAGTTCAACTTTGCTATGAAAAGTTATCATCTTCATTGAATTTTTCAAATATACAATAGAAAAATATGAATAGTATTCTTCATTTTCTAAATATGACTCAAGATTTTCAATAAGGCTGTCGTCAAGAAGACAGAAGATTTTATTCTTGAAGCCTTCTGCCAAGTCAAAAAAATCTTACAGAAAATGATTCATCTTTGTTATATCTGAGGGAAGAAATCGGTCTCTTCACATATGACATCTACTCCTCAAAAGAAGAAATCTTTTCCAAATAAGAAGTTTTTTCTTTCGGTTATTTTGACTTTAAATATTCAATGGCATTTTACTGATAGTTTAGATGGATGCATGAAATCAAGAAAAAACTTTTCATGTGGCAATTACTTTTCTAAAACGAATGAATGTATCGACAGAATCTGAATTATTCGCAAAATTTTCTTTTTTCTTCTAATGTAACTTGACTTTAGACTGTCCATTTTGTCATTCATTCAGGAGTGCCTATCATCCAAAAACTGGAAATTCAAGGCATTCTACAATAAGAGAACTTGAAACACTGTCATACAAAACTGCACTGATAGGTTCAGCAAAACTGGCACATGTAATCTCGATATAGGTGCCCGAAACATTAAATCTCCCGTCGATTTCCTTGAATTTTCAGTCTGTGAACGGTGTTTATATCTTTTTACATCCGATTAATCTCTCACTTTTATCAGAATTACTTTCGAAACTGAAAGAAAACCCATAAAGTCATTCAAAAGACATCTCAAGTGTTTTTTGGTTTCTAAGAATCAAATACGAAATTTATTTACATAGTTGACTCATATAATACGATGCGACTAAACCTACGAGAGCTTCCAGTTCTATGAAACTATTCTTGTTTGTGAACTGGGCTTTTTTTAAGAACAGTGACAGTTGAAGTCCATAAGTTCAGATGGACTGCTAGAAATACGATCGGTTCATGCTTCTATAGAACCGAACAGACTTTGATTTGCTTTAGTATGGTTCGGTCTGAAACCAAGTCGATACCATCTCTGTGAACTACTTCAAAGAACTTTTTAAAACCAACCAGTTTCTTTCAAAAGAACTATTGGAACAGTTCTCAAGATCAGAACTAATATAGAATTCTAGTAAGATTCTACACTTCAACAACCACTCTATTGAGACTAAGAATATTAATTTGTATACTTAGAATTTTTTCCACTTATTCCAATTTATCATGATCAATGACTGGAAACGGCAACACAATTTTAATTGTTCATATGCACATAGAAACGACGACGAAATGGAAAAACTGCTTGAATGTAATATTCAAAATAAATATCTTTGATAAAAAGTGCAGGGCAGATATTTAACTGCACAATCAGGTTGCATGACGGATAAATATCCAATCCTCAAATGAAAACATAGCATAATCGCTACTTTAAATAGATGTGCTTAGGATAATATTTCATGTCGTAACTTATAAATATTTCATTTAGAGCTATAACTCGATTTATTTGGAAGAAGAGTGACGAGAAAACAATAAATAGGGTAAAACAAAATACATGACAATCGCAGCATCTTTCTGAGTATCCATGTATGTTTTAGTCATTTCGAAACAATGTTTTCTCATAAGAAGATTCATCATTCAATTACCCACGAAATTGTGTCTATGAGCGAAAGCGTACAATCTTGCCAAGTTAGTCTTTTTTTGCGAAAATTTTATTATAAAAAATGTGTACTTATTCCAGTAATATTATTAACTTTCTTCTTTTAATATTACTGACTTGAAAATTTTAATTCATATTGAATAATCTAACTAATTTGCAAACTGATTGTTGGAAGACCAACAGAAAAGTGGCAGGTTTTACATTCGTACTAATTATGAAATCTGAGCATCAAAATTAGGATGAGGTATGGGTGTGAGTGTATGTTGGTCTTTTTTACACGTCCATTCCATGCCAACATCTTTCTCCAAATTTTTTCAATAAAAAGCAAGATATTTAAACTCACATAGGTACCAGCGGTATGCGAAGAGCTGCGGAAGAATATCCTCTGCTGTTTGATAAATCTGACATTGGGCGTGGTTGTGGTAATGATGATTTCATCACTCAAACTTACACCAACGCTCACACACATATTCTTTAAAAACAAATGTCTCATTTGTTGGATCAAGAAACATTTCCATGATTTCTTCTTTAATTTTCTCCTTCTATCGCAATGCTTTATTTCTCCTCTATGATTGTTCTAAGAAAGAGAACTTTATCAAACAAAACTGTTGAACATTCTAGTTTAGATTGATATTTTAAATTCAAAGCAAAACCGTTTCTTACCGGAAAATTCTACTTGAACTCTCATGATCGAAAAAAAAAACGATATAAAGTCTCCTGTATCAGAATATGAATCGTTCGCCCGATATTTTTTATCAACGCATAGTTTAGAAAGCATATACACATACAGTTTTTCTGTACTGTTTTTTTTTCTGTCTTGACTGATAGATTGATCATATATGTAGATATTAATGAATAGAATCACAGAGATACTTTTCTTCTTAAGAAAAGAACTTCTGATAATCAAACAACTATTTATAAAGTTTCTTATTAACATACAAAGTCATGATATTTGGATGTATCTCCGAAATATATGTCATCATCTTAGAAGTAAGCTGTATTTTTAGTTTTTATAATCATGTTCATCTGAAAATAATGTGACAAACATCTCAGTCAGAACGAAAATATAAACTTATCAGAAAGAAAACTGACTAACCGTGAGAAATACGAAGTATATCTATGAGAAATGATATCAATGGTGTATTGTACTAGCATGATGATGTCCTCAACCGATTTTCGACCAATATGTGACTTTCGTGCTTCAAGAAAAATGAAATGAATTTTTGACGTTTAAGTAAGGATTAGTGAAGAAGAATATCTTATTTTAACAAAGTGTCACCTAATTTAGTGAGAAGACTGGGCTAAAAAACGCGAACAATGGTGGTGCTACATAGTGAAACGCAAGTTTTTGAATAAAAAGTAGAAAGTAAAACTGATATTTCCTTTGTCAGCAGAACACAATTAAATTTCTCTATATATTGCAACTTTCTAAAATAATTCATTCAGTTTCATTTGAAAACTTTTCAGTTTAAATCGATTTAATCCAAAGAAAACATCACGAGATTTTAGTTTTAACTTTTGTCTCAAAAGAAGCTTGATCGAGTGCCATCGGAGAAGTTCATATCTGGTGCCGTTTGAGACACTTGTCAGACTATCTCCAGATGGTGTGGGTGTGAATCTTCTTTGTATGTCCTCTCCATCCAAGAACCACACAGTCCACACTGGTACCCACACTCTATAATGATTTATTCAATACTGATACAAATAAAAGGCAGTATTCACAAAAATGGAAAACTATTTCAAAAATTAGAAAATTTCTCAAAACAACGCGATGGTAGTCGAAGTTGATTTCAAAAACTTTTTAAAATTTAACCGTTTTCCAAAAATCTATATAAATATAGTCTGAAAGAGAAAACTTCGCTGCATCTACCTAAGATTAAAATTTAAATTCGAGTGTTTTTTTGAAAAACATGAATTTCCTGAAAGGGACCTTAAGCAATTACTGTAGTTTATCCTATTAATCCTTCTTGAAATTCACATACTTTTTCTATTGTAAAACTTTCTTTCGTAATTTTTAGCATTTAAACAAATGATATAGTTGAGTGTGAGTATGAATGTTGCCCATAGAAATAATCTCACTCACACCTACACCCATCTCATTCTTCTAAAATCGCAAAAGATTTTATATACGGCAAAGCACTAAAACATCCATATAAAGAGACTCTTACACTGTTGCTCCAAACAGCATGAATACTTGTCAGCTGAAAATCAGCGATTTTCAACTAAGGTCATAAGTAATATCATGAAAAAAATGAACACAATACAAAAAATATAATGTGATACATTTCGAACTAACGGTGTTTTCACATAATTTATGGCCATGTTTTATTTTCGTAGTTTCGTATGATATTCAAAAATCTG